TGAAGCAGAGGGAGATCGTCCTCTAGTTCAGGGGTCAGCAACCCCTGGCATGTGGGCCGAGCATGGCACACAAGGCCATTTTGCTCGGCTCACTACCTCCAGCCCGTGCACTCTGGCACCTTTCAAGGCAGACATTGTGGTTTTTTCGGCACTCCAGCCAAAAAACGTTGCCTACCCCTGCTCTAGTTTCTGGAAGACAAACTGCCTTTAGTTGTCGAAGAAGAGAAGTTGAGCTATTTTGTTGTAGGCAGTAGACCACGCTGTCACTGCTGCAAGATCCTGGCCCCAGAGCAGCTCCCCACCCAGCTGTACATCCTGTCAGCGCTGCTGGGGCCAGTCTCCATGGGAACCCCGGCCTCCTGCTGTTATGGCCCTGCTGCTGCTGGGGTCTCCATGGAGACTGGCCACAGCAATGCATGCAAGGGCTGCTGGGAAATGGAGTCCAGCTGCTGGCTGGATCTGCCGTTTTGCCCATGCTTGCTCTAAGGGCACCAGGCCCCCTTTTATGCAGTTGAGAAGGTGTAGTCTTAAGGCAGTTTGGCAGTGTTCACAGCTCTGGGGGAGCCTCCATATATTTGCTGCCCTTGGGCTAAGGATCTCAAAACATCCAGTGTACAGCCTGTGGTGTGAACTGTCTTGAGTGACAGGGTTTCCAGGTTCCCTACCACAGAGCTGGGACACTGAAAGTCCAAGGAGAAATGAGCCCTGGATTTTGACTCCATGACGGGGAGGCTGGAAGCTCTGAAAATGCCAGCTCAGGACTTAAGGAGTTCAGGGCTTCTGGATTCCTTGTCATGAAGCCAGGAGCTTCAGAACTCCAGAAGCGCTTTCAGGATTGTTCAGGGAAGCCCTGCCATCTAGACTGCTGCAGAGCTGAGGGCTGTATGCCTTTCAGTCTCCTGAGACAGCTGGCTCTGTTGGTTGCCTCTTAGGACCATAAGGATTGGGCAGGCTGGTAAACCAGATGGCCAAGGAGGCTGTATGACCTGGGTTCACTTGCTCAAGACAGTCTGTGGTAAGGCTGTCCTAGAGATAGAGATACGGACCAAGGAATCTGTGACAGTCACTCTGTAACGTCGTTTCTTGTCAGTTATGCTGCTCTCCACCACTGAAGAGCACGTGGAACTGAAAGTTTCTCTGTGCAAGTAGGTAGTGGTGGCAGCAGTGGAATTGACAAGAATCATAATACATTCATCCAGTGGTTGCTGAAGTCCTAGGAAGCACATCTCATTTTAAAAATACCATGTCCTGGTGTTTCCAAAACAAGTTATTCTGTAATTTCTCTTTTGTGGGAAGCTTTTTAAAAAAATGCTTTAATAATCAGAGTAAAGATGTTCCAGAGTTTCAAATTCTGAATTCTTGTCAGCTCTAATATTGAGCCATTTAGCCACTAGAGGAGAAGTAAAGATTCCCATTCTGACCCTAGGTATAAGGTCAGAATGGGTAGGTATAGGGTCAGGTATGGGTATCTAGGTTTATGGTGAGAGCCCATTGTTTCCCACCTTCTAGTATGTGGGCAGAGAACTGTGTCTTGACTCAAGGGTCAGTCTATACTGCAATAACCCTCACCTCAGAGGTGACTTACCTCACACAGGAGTGAAGGGAGGGGTGTGCAAGCAGGGGATTGTGGCTCTGCCCCAGCTCCTTGCAGTGATGACAGCCTGGTCTGGAGCAAGGGCAGAGTTGTGCACCCTTGCCCAGAGCATGCAGGCTACAGATTGCGGCTCTGTCCTGGCTCTGGAGCAGGCCCCTGTGCTTCTCTGCTGCGCATGCTGTCAGTGTGGCGGTGGCTAGCTTCCATGGCAACCCATGCAGGTGCAGCTTTCCTGTGCAGGTGTGGCTAGGGTCTCCAAGGAGACTGTCCCAAGCCATGCGGGCAGGGTCTGCTGGGAAATGAAGTCTGGCTGCCAGCCAGATCATCCATTTTGCCCACCCCTGGCTTAATGGCATACTATAGTCTACATATCTCCTAGTTCAGGGGAGTTATAATGCAATCCATGGGCTTGATCTGGCCTGTCTCTGGCCCACAGGGGCTCCTGGAGAGGCCAGGAATTTGGCGGTGGAGCAAGTGATGGTGATGTTAACCCTACAGCTGCTGAAGCTGACACAACAGCTGCTGAATTCCAGGGTATGGAGGCCCGTTGAGGGTTTGCTTCAGTGGCAGCAGGGCAAGAAATGGGTGTGTTAACCCCTGTGATTCCCTAAGCTGGGGTGGGCAAAATATGGCCCATGGGCTGGATTCAGCCCACCAAAGGATTCTGCCCAGCCCACAGTGGGTCCCTCAGCCCTTCACAGCCCAGATGTAGGGGGAAGCCCAGGGCTGTGGACAGGCGGGAAGCAGCATCCAGGAGCAGGACGGGTAGGCAGCAGCTGGGGCCAGGATCGTGGGCCATCAACAGTATGGGGCCAAGGCAGAGCTGTGATCCACTTCCCACACATCCCTGCCTGGCCTGAAGCAGATCACATCTCTGCTGTTGGCCCCTGTTCCACATTGGTCTTTGTGGAGTCCCTGTTCACTCTGTCTGGTGTCCCAGGCAGTGGGTGTGGGGCAGATGGGCCCAGGGCCAGATAAGATCAGTTGCCCCTCACCCCACTGTGCCAGCATCTGCTCCATCTCCCTGCCCCAGCTGCACCATGCCAGGTCAGCACCCTCCTCTGCTGCACTGGGCCAAATCAGCACCCTCTGTACTGTGCTGGGCTGAGTTGAGTCAGCACCCCCCTTCCCCACCCTACAACAGCTCACTAAAGCTCCTTAAGTGGCCCTCCAGCCCAAATAATTGCCCACCCTTGCCCTAAGCTAACATGGTGCCTCGGGCATCTGCAGTGGTTCATGTTTCCCCTGCTTGTCCTGCCATCTGAGGTGCGTCTGGGTCTTGATCCCACCCACAAGGATCTCCATGGACCAGATCTGTCCCAAGTGGCTGGACGAGTTTGACATCCCTGCCTAGGTAATAGGGGTGTGCAAAGCTGGCAATATTCAATTCAGATTCAGATTCGGCCTGAATTGGGGACAGTGATTTGATTCATTGATTTGGATCACTGTCCCTGATTTGATTTGGCCGAATCCAAATCTGAAGATTCGATGCTGATGCAGGAAATCAACGATTTGGACACAGACACAGCTTTAAATGTTTTTTCTACATACCTCGAGGTACCAGTGTGGCTTGTGAATGCTGCGATGATGAGGCCAATGGAGCATCCCACAGGAGTACAGGTGGACCTTCCACATGCTCGGCGGCAAACTGGGCCCACCAGGGAGCATGCAGGGGGGCTCCTCCACACCCCCCCCGGCTCGGCGATCAGCCACGGGGGGAGCCAGGAGGCACCAGTTGCCAAGCTGGGGGGTGCCCCAAGTGTGCTCCCCAGCAGACTAGAAGTGGACCAGAAGTGCCACTGTGGGACACTCCATGTGCCCCAGCATCGCAGCACTCAGGAGCCCCTGCTACCTAGAGGTATGTAGAAAAAACATTTAAAGCTGTGTCTATGTCTGAATCGCCGAATCTTTCCGAATCCCAAAGGGTTTTGATTCGATTTGGAGAGATTCAAGGGTCCTCTGATTTGATTCAGATTCGGAGATTTGGCCACCGAATTGGGCCGAAGCTCCACCAAATTGTATTGGCGACCGAAGCTTCACACAGCCCTACTAGGTAAGTATAAAAAAAGAAGTCAGTGCCATTTTCTCTGCAAGAATGAGCTCTGCTTAATTAGGTTCCTATTCTCAGAAGAGTATTGAAGATTCTGGATCATGAATGGATAAAAGTACTTAAAATGCAGTGCTCAGGCATATGCTTAAACTTTGGGAAACATTGGCAGTTCCAACACACTTGTGCTTAATTTTCCTTTTGCCTGCTCTTGGTGGTTTCCTGGTTAATTTCCAGGCCTTCTGAACTGTCCTTCAGAGGGTCCTATCTTTCCTTGTAGAAATCATTGGGAGCATAGAATACTTTGAAACATGCTTTTTAAGCCAAGTACCTAATTTTCAGCCATGCTGTAACCCCATTTGGAGGTTAAGGGAACAATTTGGATTTGTCCTTAATGAAAATATCTACCTATCATAAGCATATAAATAAAGACAAACACTAAATACACAAACTCCTCTGATTTTTCATTCTAACCAACAAATTAAATAATTTACTATTTATAAACAATTATAGTATTAAGTTTAAATATTTTTTCCAGATTCATTGAAACTTTTAACATCATTACCAGAAATTCCAGAATATTTTGTTTGACTGGTCGACTGAAAAAGCACTTTCTATTCCACCCTTATCATAATCGGTAGTTTTCAAAATGTCTAACGGCTTAGACAAGCAATATGTTTGCCTTAACGTAGACTACCCTAACATAGATGTAAAAAAGGAATGTATGTATGATGTTTAGCCCTACAGTAGTGAAACTTACTGGAATCTGGTGCTGCACTGAAGTAAGTTGCAACAGTTTAGGTATCACATGGCCTCTTTTCTACTGAGCTAACTATGCTCAGTGCAATATGTTATTGTCTTTACTGCCACCTGTGATCTGCTATAAGAGTACCTACTTTGGCAGCTTCCCTGGGAATGCTAATCGTCTGTCCCCTTTGAATAGTAGTGTAAACCACATGAGTTTTGAACAGTGATGTAAGTTATGCTAGTCTTTAATATGTTGTGTGGTCCATCCTGCAGTGTTGCTAAAAATGTGATTTTTAATTAAAAAATACATTTATATTTATTTATGATGATCTTACAGGTTATTAGTACTGGACAGAAAATGGCTCTATTATATTTTACTAAAAGCTAACTAATCCGTAATTAGTTTCAACACATATTTGTAATGCAGGCATTAATCTAAGTTTTGCAGTAAATTATGTTTAGCAACTTTTAAAGGACTGGCTTGGAATAGTAGCATTATGCAGATAGCAGAGAATTTTAGAGATCTGCTCCTTTATTTCCTACTCTAGCTTGAGAGTATAAATAAGGGTATTTTTAAAATATAACAGTAACTGAATTGTTGATAAATTGCAGATTTCAAAATGGAGGAGGTACCAGGGGATCAGATAGAAATTCCAAAAACTGAAGAAGATGCTGGGCAGCCTGGCCCCAGCCCAGCTGCACCTGAGGATGGTGGATCTGGAACAACTGTACCAGAGGATACTCCCCCTGGCCCTCCTGCATCAGAGGATATTGTGCCCAGATCTGCCGGCCATGCTCGACAAACAGCACCTTTCCATTCTTCTGAAGACCCTCCTGCCTATCTTCCAGCTAGCCGCAGGATGTCTAAATTTCGCCGGAGTGTTAGTGGAGTTCAGTCTCTACAAGAAACCATAAAAGAAAAACAGGTTTAGTATTAAGTATTAGATCTTAAACTCAGTAGTCTTCTCCCCAGAGTTTCACTTTTACCCCTCAGTTTATTAAATCCAGTCTTTAGAAGGTCTGCCTATTAAAATGTGCGTAACTTTTTTATCTTAGAAATATTGTTTTGCCATATTTTAATTTTTTAAAAGAGTGGAGAGAAAAGCACATGAAATGTTCACTCAGTAGCATACTGGGACACAGTTGCAAACTGTACATGTCCTTGATCCTGCAAATGTTTCTATATGTGTTTGACTTTTTCCATTAAAAGTAGTTTTAGTTAAATTTACTTATAAGTGACCTTTATTTTTATGTACTTGGACAGAAGTAATTGAAATATTGATTGAGATGGAGTACTAGCTAATATATACCACAAATATCTAAAAAAAAAAATTTTAAGTGTAGGATATTTGTTTGCTCCTCCT